GTCACCAGGGCTGGGAGCAGTCTCTGAGGTGCTGAAGAAACAAGAAACTCCCCTTCAGACCAAAATATCTAAAGGGAAGACAGAAGGTAACAGACATGTATGGAGTCCTTAGCATCGTAAGAGCTTTAACTGACACCTCCTGTGTCCTTGCATCAGTCCTGTGAAGTAGGAAAGTGGTCCTCAATTTATAGAAGGAAAACGGACACTTGGTAAAGTTCTGATGATCAAGCCCAGGGTTGTCAGCTAGGTGACAGGGCCAAGGCTGGTACTAGCATCCATGCCAGCCAGAGCTGATGCCACAACTGGATAAGGGCACCATGCATGAAGGATGAAGAATCTTGGTCTTAGAATGCATCTCTCAGCTCCCTACAAGCATAATCAAATGTTGTCTGATGCAGAAACCCTTTTAAATGTTTTCTCTGAAACAACAGAGGGCTACTGTGATCAAGAATATGGAGACGGGAAATTAATGTTGTAAACAAAATTGCCCCTTGGAACATCCAAGTCAGTTAATATGCTCAATTGCTTTCAAAGCACGTGTTTCGGGGAACTGTTATGCTGATTAGCAATAATTATAATCTACTCATTAAGAAATGTCCCTAAGAGCTGCTACAACAGAACACTTCATTGCTGAGTTTAAGCTACTCTGTGTGCTTGAAAATAATGAAACTACTGTCCTTTTAAAAATTATCCAATTTAGGCTTTTCACTCACTTATGCTTCTCTGCAAGGGCTGCAAATGAAATAGGCAGTGCTAAATTAAACGGTAGCATTCTCCAAGGTCCAGAGCAGCAGCTCTGAGGCCAACATGCCAGCTTTGCCAAGGGGGATGGGGGAAGGGAGGGGGCTCAGGGGGGATTTGGATCTGAAAGATTCCCTGCAGTCCACTCCCACTCTTCCTAAACATTTGAGTTTCAAAGAACTTGTTTCTCCAAAGAGTCTTGAGACTCCTTGGACATTTACTGAGTGGCAATGCTAGAATTTACTGAGAGCCATCTTAAATCCTTTAGGAACAAAGCCAATATAAACAATACACGAAGACTGAGAACTTAATATCAGCAAGCACTCAACGGGCTGAGTGCTTTAGCTCCTGTTTTAGTTAAATCTTCTTAGTTATCAGAAACACACAGAGAAACCCAAGGATGGCTGCAGGGAAGCCACGGGGACACCAGAAACTGTCACAGAGCCCTGAGAACAGGAACCCCAGCAGCTGGCTTCATGGAAACCATAACTGGATCCATTAAGCTCCAGCCTTCACAAATCCCATGAATCTAAGACTGGCACATGGAGCTGTACACTCTGATAGACTCTGGAGCTGTAAGCTACCCCGGAGGTCAAGGCAAGAAAATCTCCTGAGTCCAGGGACTGAAGGCCAGCCTGAGTATTATAGCAAGACCCTGCCCTGTCCCTGCCCCCCCCAAAAAAAAGAAAAGGAAGAAAGGAAGAGAAAAAAGGAAAGGAAAAAAGAAAGAAGGGATGATGGTTGAACCTTCCCACAAGGACCTTTCTCTTTACATCTATTACTTGGCTCTCAACTGCAAGAAACAGACCACCCAATTCAAAGAACTTTAAGCCATAAGGCCATTGTCTCACAGAACTGGAAATGCAGACACAGGATGGCTTTCAAGGCCAACAAACTAGTCATGTCACCAATAAGTAGAGCTTGTTTCTGCTCTTTGTTTTATACCAGGTCAACTTTATCCTAAGGCTGATTCTTTTGAATTTGGATGTGGAGCCTTGGACTATGGGAAAGCAGCCTTACACATTATCTCACTGCCACTATCAGGGAGATATTACTCAGGAGCCTATACCTCGGCATGCCATTGACCTGAATTAAGTCACACTAGCACGCTTTGATCTAGGCTCCTGTTTTAGTCAGTGGCAATGAATGTAGGGATGCCAAAATTGATTTAGACTGCAAATGGCAACCCCCTAGAATGAAGTCAGGTATCGGGGTAGGGCAGGTCAATGGGTATAGATTTTGAAGCCATATGGGAAATCATTCTGTTTGTTTGGATGGTTGGTTGGTTAGATGGTTTTTTTAAAAAACAGGTTCTCATTTAATCCAGGCTGATCACAAACTCACTATGAGCTGAGGTTGGCCTTGAACTCCTGATCTTCCTGCCTCAGCCTCCCAAGTGCTGGATTACAGGCGTGTGCCACCACACCTGGTTCCATGTGGGGAATCTTGAAGGAAAAATAGATTGGAGGTACGACAAGAATGGTACCAGGCACACACTAGTTTTAAGAAGTCCACTTGATATCTGAATGAAGACTCCATGTAAGTCATGGGCTACATGAATTAGAGGCTCAAGGTGGGGGCAGCTAGAATTACAACTTTGAGGGCCATCGATCTATAAGTAGAATTTAAAACCATAGGAAAAAAGAGAAATCAACTAAAGAAAGGTGAGGGGAAGAGGTAAGAATCCAACATCTAGAGATAGAGCTTAGAGAAGCCAGGAGGAGGGTCAACAAAGAGCAACGGCGAAGGCAAGAAAACTAGAACTTGTTGCTCTAGAAACCAGAACCAAGTGTTTCCCTGTTGATGCACTAGGGGTCCTGCGAGACAGCGTGTAGAAGACACTGCAGTGATGTGGGGAGTAGAAGACTCTGCCAAGACTCTAGAAGATGAAGAGAAGACTTACCGAAATGACTGAGTGGGGACTGTGTCACTGTGTGTGTGTGTGGGGGGGGGGCTTTTGTAGCAGTTAACTCTTCTTATCACACCACAGATGAGATGGTTAGCTCTAATTGTCACCCTGACACAGCCTAGGGAAGAGTCTCAGTGAAGGACTGTCTGGATCAGGTTGGCCTGTGTGAAGGGGATTATGAGCTAAGTGATGCAGGAGGACCTGCCCACTGTGGGTAGCACCATCCCTTGTGCTTGGGGCCCAGGATTGTTTAAGAATAGAGAAAGTGAGTTTAACAATAAGCATGCCTGCATTTGTTCACTCTGTTCTGAACTGTGAATGTTACTAGCGACATCAAGTTCCTGCAAGGAACAAGACCAGACATGTCTCCTGGTTGGCATGATAAAGGAAAGGGAGAGAAATCCCTACCTGATGCTGAGAAATACAGAAGGAACTCTAAAGACAGAAGCAGGCAAAGGTGAAAAATAGCAGCCTCCAGAGCTGGAACATGGGACAAGGAGCACATACAAGACTAACTCTGCAATGCTGAGAGCCCATCTCAGGGCTGTGATTATGAACTCAAGAGCAAACACAGTTTCCAGCCATTCAAACATGGGCACAGAGCTGAGGTTGTTCTAACACATCACTAAGGAAGCAAAACAGCAAAGAAAGAAAGGCAGGCAGGCAGGCAAGAAGGAAGGGTCTATATTACACCAAGCCACCTGAGTTGAGTAAGGAGAGTATTCCAAGGGGAGGTGACAGCTAACAAAGAAGCTCATATCCCAGCGATGGCTATTTGTCTATCAAAACTCAGTTTCCCTCCTTTTGAATACAAGAAAAACCATGACAGTTCTCACTCTCTTGCTTATGGGTGTCCACTTGGCTAGGTCCACTACAAGGGGATGTGTATGGAAGGGATGTCTGCCACTCATAGGCAGGGGCCTATGACCAAGCAGAGCATTCTCCACACTCTTTCACCATTGCCCCAATTCCATGCAGGCTGATGCCACAGGGGACAGCAGGAAACCAGATGCAAGACTTCTGGGCCCTGGACTAACCACGGAGCAGAACCACTCAGCAACTGAACATTGCACGATCAGAGTTTGCAACCAAGGTGAGAGTAAAGTAAGACTCTCCTCCGGCCCCATGAACATCACTATCCCTTCTTCACCAGGCAACTGTGAACTAAGTAAAACCAACCCTTCTTGCCCTAAGTTGCTTCAGTCACGTTATTTGGTCATAGTGACAAAAAAAGAAATGTAGGGGTGTGTAGTTAATCCTGTCAACTAGACAGGAACTAGAATAATCTGGGAGACAAAGCTCTGGGCATGTCAGTGACAGCTCCAAGACTGGGTTACTGAAGTGGGACGACCCATCTAAAGGTGGGTGGCACCGTTCTGGGTCACAGCACACATGGTGATGCAGTCTCAGTAGCTCTTCCCCAGGATTCCTCCCTTGCTTCTCCATCACCTCCCTCCACTGTCCTCAGGGAAACTCTACAAAAGGTTTTCTCTGTTGAATTAACAGCCACATCTTTCTTTCTAGTTCTCCTCATTCTTAGTACACAATCAACCTGATTCACAGTAGGCACTCACATCTTGACAGCAGAGAAGAAGTTTAGCTATTCAATACTGAGGATGATGACATTAACAGAACTGGCTTGGGTGTGGCCCGGGATCTCCTATCACTTTTCTTACGCTTCCCAGAAGTCTGACTAGCAGAAGGAGTATAGGACCCAGCTGCTTGCATCCATGGCTCCTTCTACAGATTGCTTTGGTACAAAATATTTCAAAGGTATCTTCTGAGACAGATGTTTCTAAACAAGCTGACTACATTATTACTGGGGGAAACATTATGCAAATGAAATATAAACAGGCTGACAAGCCCTCTGGAGGAGACTGATTGACAATGTGACAGAAGGGTACAGTCTAGGGCCAGCAGGGGTCTACAGGAGAGCTATGAGAGCTCAGCCACCCAGGGACAACCAGTTTGATCTGTTTAGGGACACCTGGAGCTTTCCAGCTCCTGCTACTCAAAGGACAGAACGTGCTACACATTGTTTGTTTCTGCCAAGACTCCCAGGGCTGCATGCTCTCCCACCAGCATGACACGGGCAGCAGATGTGAGCATGCTTCCACATGAGGATGTGTGATTACCCCCGCTTCTCCGGTGCTGACAATTACCAGCAGAAAGCCCTCGGGAAGGAAACAATGCTGGCAAATGACTGCCTTTCATGCGGGCACTAGCCACTTAGCACACGCAGGGGTGGCTGCTGCATCCAGGGTTGTTCCTTTCTCTCCCAGTTCCCCCTCTCGACCCACGTACCCAAAAAGCACTGGTGTAGAGAATCACCAAGCAAGAGAGAGCTTCGTAAGAAAATACCAAGGCTTTATTTTCTCCTATAAAAAGCCCTGCCCATTTGAGAAATGGGAAGGAGTACATAATTTTCAGGAGTAAACATGATTTACCTGCTGCAGGTTTCAGACCATAATGCCAAAGCATGGCATCCAGGGGGAAAGGTGTAATGCTTCTGTCTTCACAGCCATAAAATGCTAAGTAAACAAAATAGAATGGACTTAATGCTGGGTGTCCCCACAGGGAAACTCGAGAAAACTGTGAGAACGATAGGCTGGGTAACCTGAAAACCAAGTCCCACTCGGTGGCACCCCATCCTCCACTCCTCCCAGGCTCTGTCTGAGGTGGAGGAGGGGTTCCAGTGTGGAATCCCCAAAGCTGGGCAGCCAGCAGCTTCTGCTCTGGAGTCCACTGAGTCAAGCAGGGGCAAAATCCTGGGCGGCGCGGCCGTGGTGAGGCACGGAGGTGCAGCAGTGTCGCATGTGGAAGTTGACGACATACTCTGCGTTAGTCCTCTGCACAGAGATTGCAAAGGGCTCAAAGGGGTGGAAGGTGAAGGCGACGAGACGTCGCACTGTGTGGTTGATAGGGCGGCCCAGCAAGCCTGCCTGGATCTCAAACTTCAGCAAGCCAGAGTCCCGGGCATAGAACCTAAACAGAAAAGACACGGTGTTGCTATCATGGCCATCTTGAAGTCTGGACAGCAGGGGATGCAGACACTCCCAAGTTCATCTGATAAACGAACCACGAAACCACCTTATCTGATCGGCTCGGCTTAGAGGCAGTGACTGTAAAGTTAACTCCTGTCCTTAGTCGGTGATCACGATGACCCTGAGCCAGACTCTAAATTACAACCTTCCTGCTTCCAGAAGCTCCTGTCTAAAGCCTGTCTAAGCGTTAGAAATGAAGCAAACAGCAAATCTAAGCTTCATGTGTAACTTTAAATCTTTGAATAGCCACATTAAAAAAAGAGTAAAACAAAAAAGTGAAACGTACCTTGTAATATATTTAATTTAGTCCAGTATGTCCAGAATACTACCATTACAACCCAGTCATTCTAAAAAAATTTTTTTAAAGCATGAGATAACACACTCTTTCAATTCATCTTTGAAATCTGAAATTGACTTGACACTTGCACACATCTCAGCTTGGCCTCGTCTGACATAAATGGCTAGTGGCTACTGTATAGAACAGTGCCTTCTGGGTGAATCTTTATGATTTCCAGTTTTAAGAACAAGTTCTTGCACCAGTTACAGTGGCACATGCTTGTAATCCTAGCACTCTGGAAGGCAGAGGTAGGAGGATATGGAGTTCAAAGCCAGCCTAGGCTATGTAACAAGTTTGAGGCTTGGCTGGGCTATACAAGAGCATCTCAACAAAAAGATGAAATAAAATACATTCTCTCTGAAGGATGTCATTTTTCACATACAGAAATTAAATCACATATTAGGGATGCAGTTCAGCAGTAGGGCACTTGCCTACAAACAAAATGGTTAGTGGTTTTGGTTAGGATTTTCCATCTAACACAATTAAACAAAAGATGTTTCTGAGTGACTTGAGATTTGGGAAACTAAAGATGATGAACAGGTTGGAGGATAATTCCAGAAAATGGAGAGTTCTGAACCAAAAGGCTCTATGATTTCCTTTTCTGGAAATCTAAATATGTTCATACTTTTTTTTCAGGAAAGTCTAAAGATGTTCATACTTTTAATTATTACTACTGCTTTATTATTATTATTTCGTAGAGCTGAGTCTCAAATCCAGGGCCTTGCACATACTAGGGAAATATGCCCTCCTCCCAGAGCTCAAAGATATTCATACTTTTTGATAAAATAATCCCATCCCCAAGAATTCATATCCTCAGAATTTAATTTAAATGATTAATGATGGCATTATCTGATTTGCTCTAATGTAAAAATGCATAAAAAGATGGGCAGAAGGCTAGTTAAATGATGATGTGTCTACTTAATGGAACAGTGTGTCAGTGTGAGAAGCGCAATTGTGAGGACTGTGTAACACAATGGAAAACATCCCTAAAGCGAAACAGTCAACAAAACACGATGGCTGTGGTGATTAAAGCCACAAATGAAAACATGAGCAAACACACGTACTGACAAAGCCCAGGATGAATACAGAGTGAAGGCGGCTGACAGCATGGCCTCTTCAGAAGCCATTAATACCCTTCCCATTCTCATTTTAAGTAAAAACCCGGAGGAATTATAAAAGAAGCCTCCTCAGTCAGAGCAGGGGCATTGCAGGTGTGTTACCTAGGCTCATCTTTTCAAATTGAAAAAGCAGGGAAATCAGCAAGGACAGAAATGTATCTATTTGACTATATCAAATGAGACCCATTATGTGCATTTATGCATAAAAAGCACATTAACCTACCCACATAGTTCCCAACACACACAGGGTTTATAATTTAAAGTGAGTTGTTTGTGCTTCTAAGTCTAACTACCAATTTGTAGGAAAGCAGAGGGAATGAGAAATGTAGTAAACACTACTCCCAGCATGCAATGAACAGAGCCCAGATGTGAGGAAGACTACAGGATGAACAAGTTGGTGATAAACAATGATGTCATTGCAAGAAAAGTAAAGAGAAACGTAAACCTATGGACTACGATTTAAGGGTAGCAGCCACATGCATATGAACCTTGTTTAGAACACGAGTCAAACAAAGGAACTGTACAAAAAGAATAGTCACAGGCACTACAGGGAAAACAATTAGATGCTTGGTGACATTACCAAGTGTTTGTCTGATCTGAGGCAGGGTCTCACGTATCCCGGGCTGGCCTCAAACCTGCTACACAGTGAGAGATGGTCTTGAACTCCTAACCTTGCCTCCACCTCCCAAGTGCACCACCAGGTGTGCACCACCACTCCGGGTTTATGTGGTGCTGGAATTTAACCTAGGGCTTTTGTGCATGCTAGGTAAGCATTCTACCTTCTGAGTGACATTCCCAGCCCCATTAATAAGTTTTTGTTAACCTGTTTAGAAAGGATGATATCAAGGCTTTTGTTGTTGGTTAAAGTTTGTTATCTTCCAGAAATCCACACCAAAATGTTTATGGGTAAAATTCTAGGGAAACTGAGATTTACTGCAAAATAATCCAGAGCAGCAGGGACATGGGAAGAGGAAATGGCTGGTCAAGAGCTGACAACCTCTGAAGCTAGGAGATACAGAGGGGTAGCACAGATAAAATTTGCCAAGATAAAACAAAAAGTTTTAATTGAGTTTCAGAATTTGACTGCAATTTCCCAAGGGAAGTACTATGAATAGTGAGTAACTATTCAGAATATGTTACACAGACCCATTTAATATATGGGCAGATGACAAAACATACTTACTACAGCTGGGTGTGATAAGGCATTATCTATAATACAGTGTGTGTGTGTGTGTGTGTGTGTGTGTGTGTGTGTGTGTGTGTGGTTCAAGGTCATCCTTGACTGCACATTAAGTTCAAAGCCTAGAGAATAAGGAAAGGAGGAAGAGAGGGAGCAATGGCAGGAGAAAAGAAAGAACAAAACTGTAAACTCAGTGCTCCTGTCTCCACGTGAAAAGACCGTGCAAGCTCCAGTGCAGGGCTGCAGGGCCCTGGCCAGGCAGTTCTTCACGGCATCTGACACCCTCTTGTGACTTCTGTGGGGACCAGATACACACATGGTATACATACACACTCATACACATGAAATAATCTTAAACAAACAAAAACACCCCAAAAGTAAAAAAATTATTTCTGCCTTTTCTACTTAGTGACATGGATAAAATAATTTCAGTGAGCTATACTGGATACACAATCTGTTATGGAACGCCACTAGGTTATTAAAAATAGAAAACATAGCTCCTTTCCTTGGATGCTTTTATTTTTTGTTTTGTTTTGTTTCTTAAGATAGGATTTCTCTGTGCAGCCCTGGCTGTCCTGGAACTTGCTCTGTAGAACAGGCTAGACTCAAACTCAGAGATCCTCCTGCCTCTGCCTCCTAAGTGCTGGGATTAAAGGTGTGTGCCATCACTGCCTGGCTTCCTTGGACACGTTTAAAAGCAGATAGCATTTATCTGAACAAAATGTTAGCAGCAGTAGTTAACGTCTGAGAATACGACCTAGGTGATCCAAGCCCTCACCACTCAATAGGAACAGCCTGCCTTTTCCTTGCAGCTGAAGCACAAGAGACTGTCAGTAACTGACCCATGTTATAGAAGGGGAGAGAGAGGAAGCACAGTGCCCTTTGCTTCAAGCAGTTTGGAGCTGTGGTGGTGACAAAGTACCTGATTGGGTGATCTCCACAAGTCTTGGGTCGCTCCATGACTGACACCCACTTGTCATCGTAGCTGAAGAGAGACAAATCCAGGTAGGGGCTCCCACTGTATGACTGGGCACTGATGGGGAGCTGGCCCAGCAGCCGGCGCACAGCCTCTGTGTGCCCTCCATACTTGGCATTTATAATCGTGTCTTTGAACCTAAAACAAAACACCAGTGAGGAAGGCTTTCTCAGCAGCTACCTGAGTTTAAAACTCACATACACGTGTCTAAACTCCAGGTGAAAGCACCTTGCAAGCCTGAAGACCTGACCTGAGCTCAATCACAGATCCCACAGTGGAAGGAGATAAACGACTCCCAACGGTTGTCCTCTGACAGCCTATATGTGCACAGGAACCCGTATTCACAAACACAATCTTAACTTCCCCTGCAGTTCTTGTGAACTAGGGCTTTCATCTGCTGTACTCCTTCCTATTCAGTGCCTCTCTGAAACCATCCTAAATCTCATTTGCCAGAAAAGAAAAGGTTCGTTAGCAACAACCCTTTTAGATATAACCAAGAAGCCACCAAAACTAGTACATATAGCTACTGTAAAGACATTGAGCCACGTGGGTATGGCTCACCCTTTCCTGCATGCCTCTCTATTAACCTTGTTCCTAACACTCTTCTTAGATCTGTTGAAAAACTGCCATGTCCTGGCTCATCCTGAGATTCTTTTCCGCCATGTTATTGATCTGGTTGCGCACCAGTGAAGATCCCCAAACAATAAGGGAACTCCTCAGGCTACTGCAGGTGACACCACAGAGCTGTGTCTCTGTCCTTGTCACCACTGACAGCAGCATGATGGGAGCTGGCCCGTGGCTTTGGGATGGCCATAAAGCATCTAGGATGACCTACAGGATCTGTACATTGAAGCATCTAGGATGACCTACAGGATCTGTACATTGAAGCATCTAGGATGACCTACAGGATCTGTACATTGAAGCATCTAGGATGACCTACAGGATCTGTACATTGAAGCATCTAGGATGACCTACAGGATCTGTACATAAAGCATCTAGGATGACCTACAGGATCTGTACATTGAAGCATCTAGGATGACCTACAGGATCTGTACATTGAAGCATCTAGGATGACCTACAGGATCTGTACATAAAGCATCTAGGATGACCTACAGGATCTGTACATTGAAGCATCTAGGATGACCTACAGGATCTGTACATAAAGCATCTAGGATGACCTACAGCATCTGTACATAAAGCATCTAGGATGACCTACAGGATCTGTACATAAAGCATCTAGGATGACCTACAGGATCTGTACATTGAAGCATCTAGGATGACCTACAGGATCTGTACATTGAAGCAGTACTTGTTCTTCAACAACACCCACCATATCTCCATTCTCCCAGCTCCCCACTGTTTGAAACATGAGAAGCCATCCCTCTGGTATCTGAAGCTGTGTCACTGTCCAACTAACGTCTCTTAATTCTAGGTGACTTAAAAGTTCACAGTAACCATCCTTCTAACAGTATGGCCCCCCAATCCCTAACTCCCCTCAGCCGCACCCCTACATTCCTATAGCCTCACTCTCACCCTGCAGCCACTGAACCCCAGGCGGACCGCCCCATGTTCCAGCAATCCCCTATCATCTCCCCAGCCCCAGCCTTCTGTACTTCAACAATCTTCCAAAACCCACCGGCCCCACCAACATTTCCCTTCCCTCTCACACACCCAGTACGTCCTCTCTTTCTTCTTTACCGTCTTACAAGAGAAAGTTAATCATGAAACAGCTCCACTGCATGCATGCTCTAAACTTCGAACCGTGCCTTCGAGTAGGGCTCTAGTGAAGTTCAGCTCTGCTCATTCTATGCCTGTGCCTGCTCAACTTTCTGCAGCTGGAGAAGCCACACAGGCCTTCAATGTGGAGGGATACTCCTCTGCTCGACACAGTCCAGCCTGCCTCCTACTCTCTCCACAGCTACCTCATCTCCACCTGGTTTGTTCCTGACAAACACAGGGAAGCAGAAGAGAAATTTTTAAGGTCTCCACAGGGCATCTGGCCTTGCATGGCACTCCAATCTCTCTTTGGGGGCAGTAGATCTATCTCATCCCCTCTTACGTACTAGGCAGAATTTTTTAACACATAAATATGCCATTTTTACTTCTCAGTTTAAAATAAGGAAAGCCATCTGGTTAGTGACAGAGGTCTGTAATCCCAGTTATTTGGGACACTGAGGCAGGACTGAAATTCAAGAACAATATCTAGACCAGGCTCAGCAACTAGTGAGACCCCTTAAAATAAAAAATGTAGAAAGATGGCTGGGATATAGGTCAGCGACACAGAACTTTCCAATCATACCAGAGGCTCCTAGGGTCAATCCTCAGTGGGCAGAGGGAGGGAGGGTTGGAGGGAGTCAACACCATTTGTCACTACTCTAGGCAAACATGTACCATCTGAAGTTGTAGAACAGTCATTTGTGTCTCTGACCCCATCTCCAACTACTATCCCTTGCTCATCCCAATCCAGCCATCTGCCCTCCTTGGCATTCTTCAAAGACCTCAGAAATACCTCAGCCTGTGGGCCTGCTGTTGCCTCCACTGAGTGTTAACCTGTCTTCCTGACTAACACGGGTAGCTCCTGGTCTCCTTCACAGCTCTGCTCACACACCACTGATGACCCTACCAGAAGAACAGTGATGATATACATACTCAGGCCCTCCAGACAGCGTCCCAGCTGTCTTTTCCTGAAACCCTTCCTTCCAGGATCCTTCACTCTCTCATGCTCTTCAGGCCTGACCTGTGAACTAAGATCCTGCAGCTTCCCTTTCAGAGCCCTCAGAACTCTGACTCTGTTGCCTACAAACCATCCCTTGTGGCTTACTGATGGCATGTATTTTCCAAAGACTTCCTCAGAAAGACACATAAAAGATGACTTTGAATCTCACAGACCTGAAAATAATTTTGTTCTTCTCTATTTGAATATAGGGTTCTAAGGAAAAGAAAATAGCCATTTTTGGTGGCACCAGGGTAGGGCAGGATTGAACCCAGAACCTTGTGAGTAGCCAACTCTATCATTGAACTACATTCCCAGGCCCTCGAAATCACCCTTCACAAAATTTCTGAAGACAAGATCTTCACGTCTGTGAGCTCTTAGCGCCGTCACTGCCACCACTCTGATAAAATCTTTGCATGTACAATGTATGTTCTTGCTCAAAGCTTTTGTGACTTAACCATCATCTCCAGTGTTTCAAAACTTCATGGCGTGCCTCCATGTGGGCCTCTTCTCACTGACTACACTAAGTACTTGACTAAGCAGAACACTGGTAAAGCAGGTGATTTTCTTTGGCAGCGTAAGGGGGAGTAGGGCATGATTTGTAGCATTTGCCAGTTTCTGTGGTGTAAGCTTCCTGCTGTGGCCAATTTCAAGGAACCAACGCGGCATCATCAAACACTGTTGGAGATGAGCCACAGCACTCCACTATGTAGCTTCCACCAGCCAGATAAAGATAACCTCAAAAGATGGATAACACCAAAGTAAGGGAGTAATTACAATTTAGTAATGGCTATGTTTAACCATCAGCTGAAAAAAAATCCTGAAAGCTGACCAGTTGGCTCCAATAGCCATGGATGGTCCTGCCAATCTAGAAAGTTCTATCCATCAGAGTTAGAAAGGGCTCACATTGTTTCTACCCCTTTGGTCCTTGATTTCTCTTTTTTGGGAACAGCCAGGTATAACTCTAGGCAAATGCACTCAACTTTTTCTTTAAATCTTTCTTTCCCATTTCCCTATCCCTAACCCCCCCCCTTTTTTTCTCTCTCTCTCTCTCTCTTGGAGAGTTCTTCAGCTAAATCTAAGAAATTTTAAGTCTCCTAGAGCATGGGTGTTCTAGGCTACCCTGGTATTCCCACCTTCAGTTGTTTCCGTGACTGCAGCTCTGCCTCTTCCTCTCCTGGTCTGTCTCGGTCTCTTTTAGGGTAATGGCATTTAATCATTCAGGACTTCAGAGTCCATTTTATATGTTTGAGTGCTTTATGCTAACCCATAAGCTCCTCATGTTTTTTTGTTTTTACATAAAGACTACTAAAGAACACTCACTACACAACTTTCCATTAAGAGCCACGTATTTACAAGAAATAAAAAAGGTAATTTCTGTTTACATATACATTCTATATTCATTAAAGTGAACTATAACAGGGTAGCTAACAAAGTCTACTCAAAATACATTTTGTGGCAGATGTATGAGGGCATCTGTAACTTGGTATGAAACAAACTTTTTCGATTCACTGAATGGGAGGGAGCACGAGGTGCCTGCGGCACTCCTTATTCCAGAGGAGTTCTGACAAACTTTCCAGAGAGTGCTCTGAATCCTCAATGACTCCATTCATTCAACAGGCCTCTCTGCACTCCTGTCAGCCTGGGTGTGGACATGGCAGGGAACAGAATCAAAGCTCCTGACTGCATGGAGCTTACCTCTTTGATGTTGTGACTGCGTATCCCCATGGTACTAGTTTCAAAGAGGGAAACTTAACTGAGGAATGGCCTAGGTCTGGCTGTGGCCATATCTGTGGTGAACTGTCTCAGTCACTGGTGGATGAAGGAGGGCCCAGCCCACTGTATAAGGTGCTCCCAGACTAAATCAAAACGCTAGCTAGGGAAGAAGCAGGAGCCCAAGAGGAAGCGGCGTTGGTCTGTGGCTGTACATCAGTTCCTGCCTCCAGGTTCCTGCCTCCAGGCTCTGCCCTGATTTTCCTCAGTGTTGTAGTGTGACCAAGAAAGTGTTATGCTGAAATAAACCCCTTCCTTCCCAGGGTGCTTTTGGTCACGGCGTTTATCAAAGCAACAGAAAGAAACTAAGACGCCGGCCGTCTGTAACGTGTTAACGATATGATTAACGTAAAAGTTAATTTTGAAAGAAGATTCCTGGGTTCCGTCCCTAGCGCTGCCACCGAAAAGGGAGGGGAGTAGTATCCCACACCTGTAATCCCGGCACGAGGAAGGCTGAGGAAGGTGAACCACCGTGTGAACAAGACCAGCCGAGGCTGCACAGAGAGACTGAAAAGAAGAAAATCGTGCTACTGAGGCAGAAGATGAGCACACTGGAGAGAAGACACCGGCAATGAGGGGTCAGAATCACTCTGTCTAACCACAACTGTCCCTGGACACAACAGAGCCACTGCATTAAGTTACCTTTGAGTTCATCTCTCCCAGAAGCAGTGATGCTGGCTCTGATTCATCTGCTCAATGTGATCTAGCCTATTTGGGAGCCAAAATCAGATTATTTTCCATACCTCGTTAAGGTTAGGGCAATTTAGGTATGAAAGCTGATGAGGCCTTGCATGACTACACCAGATTTAGCAGGGGCTCTTAGCCCAAAGGAACTACTCCTTTCCTGCTCGTATACTAAGATGGTTCTTAGACAACATGGACTTTCTGGTTTGTCTTTTCTTCTGTTCTTACAATCCACCCCTCTATCCCTTCACTTTACTTTTAGAGGGATTTACCATGGAACAGAGATAAATGGATGTGTTCAACATGCCATATTTAACCACAGGTTCTAAAATGATCTCCATCACTCTTTGCACAAATATTTAAGGGCTTGGCAGTGCACCACTGAGAATATAGCAATAAACAGATGTAGTTCCTATCTTTCTGCAATTCACATATGGTACAGAAGATGTATAAATAATTACACGTCCTCAGAGATAGCAACGAGGATAACACAGGAGTGGATTCCAAAAGGCAGACCTACCAAGGCCAGCTAGACAAACAGAATACATAGCTCCTGAAACAAATGGCTACCAGCGTAACGCCAGCCATTTAAAGTTAAGAATGGGAGGCCTGGCAGAAGAGCTTACCGGCGCTGGATCTGCCGTGCAAAGTTGTTGCTAGAAGCCGAGCAAGGAAACTGGACTTCACTGTGCAGGGTGGCATTGCGGAAGAGGTCACAGAAGTTCTCAAAGAGCTCCAGAAGTTCATCTGATGTGTTCTCAAACACAGCGATCACCTCTGTTGTCACCATGTTGTAGACCACAAAGAAGGACGCCTGCAGAAGAGAGGCAGCCATGCACTGTCACGCCTAGGAAACTGACTAAAGATTCACACCCCACAACAACCCACTCAGGGACCCCAGCCTTGGCACCAGAGAGGCCGCATGGCGCCAGAGGTTCTGGAAACGGAAGGAGCGGTATGGGCTCTATTGGTTGAGAGCCTCGATGCCACCAGATCTCCCACTGCCAGCGCACTGCTAGGATTACCGAGCTAGCCAGCATGTATATATAAAAAGGCTTTCAGTCTTTCATTTCAAACTGTGCAAATTCAATATTTCTCCTTCTGAGTGTTTATTCCCTATTTGTTCCCCAACCCACCCTAAGATTTAAAAGAAAAAAAAAGTTTTTAAAATGCCAGATTTAATTTTCTTTCCTGCTGAGAAAGTGATTTGCAGCCCAGGGCTGCCTGTTGGTAAATGATTTCCTCTTCTATGTTGTACAGTTGAAAGTTCAATTCAGGGGCATTTATTTTTCCCTCTTAATATTTCTAGCACACAGAGAGACACCTTAAGTACATTGTGTGCTAAAACTGCCCAGGCAAGTTGTATCCACGCAGGATACTGCAGATGAACAAATGAAAAATCAGACAGGCATTTTCCATTTCTTTCTACATAAATGTTCTTTCAGCCAAGAGCTTTTGTAAGGTACCTTTGAGATTTCTGGCAATTAAGATAAGAGGGGGAACCTGAAAGGCATTCAAATGCCATGGGTGGCATGCTTTTTCTGAATGGGGCCCTGGGTGACTGGGCCTCTCCCTTGGCACCTCCAGTGCTCTGCGTACCTTCCCTAACAGAAGCTCCGAGTACCCTGAGTTTTTGTCACAGTGAACGCAGCCGTGTGAAGTAAGTCTGCAAGCTTCCAGCAGAATTCAAAGACGTCTTCGGGACACAAGGATTAGGGTTTCACCCTCCTCTGATTGAGTCTAAATCTCTATTACCCATCTCTGGAGCCATTTGGCCCACCTGTCTCACTAGTAATTAGTCCTTCCCAGAGCTCCTCTTACATGACTTTGCAGTCACCTGGAAATTAAATTTGGCTGCAAATTAAAGAGGCTGGAGGGCAACCTGAGAATAATACCCATAATATTACCAAGGCTTTGTCTATGGATGCCGTTTTCACTCATTAACCTTATTGGAACTTATCAAATTAAACTGGAGGGGGGAAGGACAACTGGGGCACAGTGACTAGGTTTCAAGTTTCGAGCTCATGAGCAGAGGACACAGACTCAGCAACATGTCTTGCTTTCACTGACTGTAACTACCAGAAAAAAAAAAAATAGGTCACCTTTTAGCAAAGGAAAAAAAAAAAAAGGATAATCTCAGTGCAGTGATAACAGACAACTTATTCCTTCCAAAATAGAAAGGTAATTATAGCTGAAACCTAAATAAAAGACTGACTCATGTCCCATCTATAGACTAGGACACCACTTTGATCATATCAGGGTTTTAGCAGGATCTTTCATAATTATGTGAATATAAAATTACACAAACACTTGTCAGCTTTCCCTCTTCAGCAGACTGGGAAATTAAGGACAGGACGGGAAAGAAGTCAAGGACTCTACCACCCCTCTTCCATGACGCGTAAGATGAACTAGATGCTCACCTGTGGTGGCTCAGCGACACTTCTCATCATTAACAAAAAAGAAAGAGAATTCTAAAAATAAAAGCTGACCTAATCACCTCCCCGTTTTAGAATGCACAAGCTCTGATGGGGAGGGGGGGACAGATGGAAGACAGCTTACCACAGGTTGAGTGGGGACTTAGAAATCATTTCCTGTATAGTATGTATCTCTCTCTTTTTTTAAATTTGTTTCTCATGCATCTGTGGTGCACTGTGTGTGTCTGTACCAAACCCGGGCACACAGAGGCCTAAGGCTGATGCTGGGAGCCTTCCTCAATCACTGTTCATCCTATTCATTAAGGCGGTGTCTGTCTTGAACCCAGAGCTTGCTGACTAGCCAGCTTGCTCTTGGGACTGTCTCCACCTTCTGAACACTGGAAGTACAAACAGGCCACCACACCCACCTGCGTTTACATTGCTTCTGAGAGTCTAAACTCCCCTCATGATACTTTATCCACTGAGTCAACCCTCAGCAATGTATATGATCTCTCAGAGACAGAACTGGCTGACATCCTAGTTTACTGTTTGCCTAACTGTTTTCTATTTCCAGAAGAGGGAATTCCGAACGGGAGAACTGGGTTGGGGTAAGGGAGCCAAATGTACAGAAAGGTAGGCCTCTTTCTCAGTCAGCACTAAAGTGGAGACTTCTCAAAGACCACTGTCCGGGGCTCCCTGGACGGCCAGAGGTACTTTAACTTCTCGGTACGGGCTCTGTTATTCCCCCTCATCACCACTTCTCCTCCTGTGGTTTTCTAGGTCAAGGGCTCATAGCTCTTGAACCAAAGATCTCTTTGCCTCCGCCTTCCCACTGCTGGGATTACTGGAATTATAGGAGTGCTCCATCTGCACAACCTGACTGCAATGTAGGACTTTTTTTTCAGTTCCAGGGACCCAGAGCCTCATTTGCTAGACGAGCTTTCTACCACTTAGCCCCCAAATGATTTCCATTTTTGCATGGAGTGTTCATTCTCACTGCCAGAACCCGTTTGGTTGAATAAGCATATTATAAAATTCTAGGTAGGATTTGGGTTCCTGTCTGACAGATACTGAAAATGCCCTGTGGAACAACTGAGATAATAAACCAGAGAGGTGGCTGTGTACATGGCAGTGGCTTCACATTTACCCTCCATTTGTCAATTTCAGTATGCAGAACTTGACACTGCACTGAGGTGTGTATTTACTCCTGGGGTGGAGACTGACAGGCAGGCGCAGGCAGGAGGGCTCACCCGTACCTGAGATGGGTCTGTGACCCGCAGTGTCACTACATCCTCACTGGTGTATTTGATGAACAGGTGGTTTTCATCCAGAAGCTGCATCTTCCACATGCGCAGCTGCCGCAGCTGGTCAAAGTACTGGAAGAAGCGCCTCTTGGCCATCGCGCTGCCGTCCTGTTCTGCCCTGCGCCAGAGATAAACCAGCAGCCGGTGCTTCAGGGAGTTGATGAAAGGGTCCCTAAAGGGATTGGCCATGCCTGTCTGGCTGTCCCGCTGCACCTCAGGGAAAACAGCAGACACAGTGAGCAGGTCATCCTCATAGCAGAAGCGGCCAATGGTCCGAACGTCAATGAAAGTGCCTTCCGGGGTCACCTGGAAGACATGAATGGTCTGCTGCTGCACAGACAATATGGCCAGGATGTTTTTGTACAGGTACAGGCCTTGGTTGTGGGACAAGACCACTTTGTCACACTTGAATGTGCGTGTGTCACACAAACGGCCAGTGTGAAGGTCAATGATGTGGAGGGAATAGTCCTCTAGAGGGGACCGTGGATTGGGGGTCACTGACTCACTGTTCCGATAGACCTCATAGAAAGGAGGGTGAGGTTCATCTGGGAGGTAGGCAGCGGAACCCACGATGACACACCGGCAGTCATCGGTGAAGAGGCTACACTCCCGGTTCAAGTGCTCGCCGTTGGCCGCCACACTGGTAATGTGCAACAGGACAAAAAAGCGCTCAAAGAGCCGGCCTCGGATACTGACTGACCGCTGGTCGTTGCCATTGGACAAGATCTCCCCTTCGTATCCCTGCAAGAGGTCCTCTGCTGCCTGACAGCCCTGGTACTCATAGATTTCAAGAGATGTCTGGTCGGAAGAAAAAGCAATAAAGTAGCGCCCATCGGGTGAGAATTTACGCAGGAAGCAAGGAGGCTTTTCAACGTTGACGACCGTGAAGTTCGGGAAGACGTTCTGGTGGAACACTCTGACCTGATGCCAGTGGGTTCCCGCCTTGCCTGAACTGATGCGCCGGCGTTCTAAGCGGTGAATGACATTCTGATTTTGGATTCTTCGGGGTTTAATGGTGGAAACATGCTGATCCATTATAACATCTCTGCAGAGGAAAAAAAAAATCAGAAACCAAGAAAACAGGAAAACTCACTAATACAAAAGTACATGCAAATGAAACATTACTTTCATTTGACTGAACCCAGGGTGTCCCGGGACAACAGTGATCAGTGTGTCTCCTTCCGAGATTGGAGTTACAGCGATCCTGACATATCTAAAAGACGGATACAGTACTGAGAGAATACCTTCTAAGTATATGCTAACAGGAATTTTCAAAAAATAGACTGACAAGTATATCAAATGTGAGAAGCACAAAAACCACACTCCCATGGCATGGTGGCACCCAAGTAAAAACACTACCACCACTCAGGAGGCCGAGGCAGGAATACTAGTTCAAGTCCAAGGCCAGACAAGGATATGGGCTGCAATCTTGTCTTTGTTTATTTCTGAAACAGAATATCATATATCCCAGGCAGGCTTTGATCCTGCTATGCAGTCATAGATGACCTTCAACTGCTGATCCTTCTGCTCAACCCTCCAGTGTTGGGATCACAGGCTTGTGCACCCATACCTGGTTTACAGGGTGCTAAGAATCAGCCAGGGCCTTGCATATGATATGCTAGGTAAGCACTCTAAACCAACTTTGCTATTTTCTCCAGCCCCAAGACTCTGTCTTTAAGGAAAAAAAAAGTAACATTGAATGTACATATATACACTTTCTGGGCTGTTATGTTACAGTGATCTATACATTAAAACAATCTCTATCAAAATTCCAATGGCATTTTTCACCCTAAAAATAATATGAAATCTCAAAGAATACCAAATAGCTAAGATGACATGGAAAAATAACACAACTGGAGTGCTCATATTTCCTGATTTCAGAACCTATTACAAAGCAACAATAGCAACAATAATAATAGCATAACCCTTACATAACCAGGTCAATGGAAAAGAAGGAGTCTCAGAATAAACCATGATTAATCCTATCAACAGGACTGGATTAGAAACCTCTAGGTTCTTAACCTTCGGGCCACAACTCCTTTGGTAGCTAAACAACCCTTTCACAGGGGTTGCCTAAAATCATCAGACAGCACAGACATTTTTATTATAATATGTAACAGTAGCAAAATTATAGTTATGAAGGAGCAATGAGAAAAAATTGTTATGGTTTGGGGTCACCATAACATGAGGAGCTGTATTAAAGGGTTGCATTAGGGAGATTGAGACCCACTGCTTCAGGAATCGGTGAAGCACACCTCTGGGTTCCAGAGACTACTAGATTATAAGGGCTCTGATCTAATCAATGGATTAATATCTTGTAGATTCATAATGGCAGCATTAGTGGAGGTGACGATGGGTAGGAGGAGGGCTGAGTGGAAGAAGGAGAGGAAAAGGGACATGGACACTGACTCTGGAGGCTAAATCTTGTTCTGACCCTTTCCTGTACCCCCCTTTCTCTGCTTCCTGTTTGCCACACGCTCCTCCAAAATGACAGACTGAGCCCTCTGTAACTAAGACTCAGCAAATCTCTCCTCCTTTAAGTTGCATATGGAGTCAAAGCCTAAAAAGCTCACACATGGGCAAACACCATCTGGTATTCAGTAAGGCCAAGGCCACACAACAGGAAAGGGGAGTTTCTCATATACATGGCTTCTGGACAAATGGATATCATAAGCAAAAAGAATCTTGGAAATAAAATTACACCCTTATCTTGCACCATTTACAAAACTTAACTCAAAATGAATTAAAAACTAGCCGGGCGTTGGTGGCGCACGCCTTTAATCCCAGCACTCGGGAGGCAGAGGCAGGCGGATCTCTGTGAGTTCGAGGCCAGCCTGATCTACAAGAGCTAGTTCCAGGACAGCCTCTAAAGCCACAGAGAAACCCTGTCTTGAAAAACCAAAAAAAAAAAAAAAAAAAAAAACAAAACCAAAAAAAAAAAAGAATTAAAAACTAAGTGGAAGACCTTTATCTATAAAACTCCAAAGGAAACCACAGGGAGAAACTTGATGAAAATGGACCTAACGTCTTCTTATGATGTGAAACCAACAGCATGGGTAACACATCTAAAAATGGTTAAACCTGAAAACATAAAAACATCTATACACTAGAAGTTGCAATTAGAAAGTGGAAGGGTGCCAGGCTTGGTGACGCACGTCTTCAATCCCAGCACTGGAGAGGCAGAAGCAGGCGGATCTCTGTGAGTTTGGGGCCAGCCTGGTCTACAGATCAAGTTCAGGACAGACAGAGCTATACAATGAAACTCTTTCTCAAAAAAAACAAACAACCACCACAAAAAAAAAAAAAAAGTGAAATGGCAACCTACAGAATGAACAGAAATATTTGCTGGCCAAGTATCTGATAAGGAGTTAATACTTGACCTATTAAAGAAAAAAAAAAAAAAACTCTCAGGACCCAACAAATAGCCACAAAACCCAATTCTTAAAGATAAAACCAGATAAAATACTTGAAAGACATTTCCCCCAAAGACATACAAATGGCCAACAAAGAAAGTATGTGCATCGATAATCATCAGAAAGGAATCAAAGCTGGGGGAGGGGTGATTCTGGCAAAGGCTTTGCTAACAAGTAGCCCGGATCCCCGGCACCATAAAACAAAAAAGCCATCACAACATATAGTAAGGGTATTGTTTTGGAATCCTTTTGTTTCAAACTTATCCCAGGACTAGCTACATCCACAGGATAAGGATCTAAACCGCATGCTGAGCTAGACCCGAGGGAGTCAGGCTCTAAACTACTACTCTGGTTGATTTTGGAAAGAACCTTTCCCTGGAACACAACCACACTCATTCATTTACATATTGCCTATGGCCACCTTAGCCCTAGGAAAGAAGCGCTGAGTGTCCGTAACATATCACAGACTGAAATATACTATCTGGTCTTTTGTGGAAACCAAACTCTTCACCTTAAAGAACTATATGGGTGGGGTATCAGCTCCAACATCTTGTCTTCGAAGGCCTTCTTTCACTTCTTGAGACCCGATATCCCAAAACAGTAGCCACACTCTGCATTTTACGTATGTGTATACTTATGGTGATCTCTCTGGGTCAGTTACACACCTCTTCCGTGCGTCCACCACAGTGCTGGACACATAGCAAGCTCCCTTCTGAAACACTGGGCTTACCTCAAGCCATATTCTCGACCATCGTGGGAAAACACAGGGGTACTTTCCTTTTCAGAAATGCATTCTCCCTGGTCCTTGCCTTAACTTGTCCTATTGCAACTTTGGTGTTAATTTTTGGGAAGTTTTTTTTTTTCCCCATCCTCCCTAAATTAGGATTCATCTTTTTCTTGTTCTTTCTCTAGTATTCAGCACAACTTTTATTTACATGTTCGATTGCATGATTGTGTTTAATGTTTAATTTTCCTCGCTGAACTATACTCTTTCTACTGGAAGTAACCAGGTTTACTTCGGTCACCACGATATATTCTTTATCTAGCTTTAGGGCTAGCACATGGTGGACGCTTTGGTACGTTCTGAAACGAAAAGAAAGCCTGGCTAAATCGGGTCACTAAATGTGTAAAAGCAAAGAGATGGTTTGTTTGTTTGTTTGTTTCCTCGTTAGAGCAAGTGCACATGTCTCCTCACTTGGCGACTGCTTCCAAAACAAGAAAAGGATGCCAAGAGGCAGACACACATGCCCAAGGGGCGCCCCCGGAAAGAAAAGCCCAGGGCGGAGCCTTCCCGGGCAAAGCCTGGCGCCGGGGCTCGTGGCGCCCGAGTATCATGCGGAGAGGAGCCCGCCGCGGAGCTCCCACCGGCCGAAAAGGGCAAGTCCTCACCTGTCGGGTCCTGGCTCATGGGGCCGGGGCAAGGGTCGCCCTAGCCAGCTCGGTGCACACCTCCCCCGGCCCCGCCCACGCCATGCCTCCGGACCCCGGCGTCGGCAGCCACGGACCCCCTTGCTTCCGCCCGCTACCGGAAGTGCTGCGCAGCGAGAAGGGAAGTACGGAGAAACGAGACGTCACCCAGCTGAGGAACGGCGCAGCGCACCCTGGCGCCCGGAGGAGGGATCGAGGCCGAAGAGGCTGGGTGGAAAACCCTGAGCCTAAGTGATGATCTAAGGCACGATTGTAATAAAGTGAATAGGCATTAAGTTTTCACCTGCTTCTCCTGTAATGGTGGAAGATGGCATTATATACACATCGTGTCTTTCTCCGCGCCCACTGCTATTGGTGGGCACGGAATATACAATAAAATCTGTACTAAATGGATCCCATAACATTTACTGGTCTTTCGCTAACACATGACTTCTTTCAATTTCTTGCAAGCTATTTCTTTCCTGTGAGCCTGTGGCTTCTCCTAGGCTGTCTAACCCAAAATTGTCCCTCTTTTGGATCAGTCAAGTCTTTACATATATGTATGTCTTCTCTGTGTGTGTGTGTGTGTGATGTTTATTTTTTGTGATGCTTTGTGACATTTGACACTACATACCAACTCTTAAGGCTCCCGCGTCACCACCATCACTAAGTCTTCACTCTTCAGTCTAATATCTGTTTCTGTTGCTTTGCATTGCTTTTTTTGTTTCTCTGCCCTCTGGTAGAACATAAACTGGGGACAGGGGTTTTTGTCTTATTTTCTGTTCCAGCCCCACCTACAACAAGGTTTGCCATCTTACAGGAGCTCAATAAGGAGTCCATTTGAGGGCCATGAGTGGTGGTCCATACCTACATCCCCAGCTCTTCTGAGGCATAGGATCTAGAACTGGAGGTCAGGCTGAACTTTGCTGTCCCCACCCCCAGCTCCCCAAAAAGACTGCACACAACACCACAAGGAAAGGATATTGGTTGGCTTTTATGAGGTGGGGGAGGGGCAAGGGACTGAAGTTAAAGAAGAAAGGAGACTTAAAGATATAGGTTGGTTGTAAAGAGAAAGATAGATTTCTGTCCCAGTCCTAACATTTCCAAGCTGAATGTTCTCAGGTGGTAGCTTCAGAGCATCCTTTTCTTGGAAACGATTATACCTGCCCCTTAAGGTGGAACAAAGTATTAAATCTGCTATCCTCAAACACTTGAAGTCTTGATAAAATATTACTGAAGTTGTCCGGTCACAACTCCCTTCTCCATGATAAAACTAAGACCCAAAGAGAGGCATGCACCACTTGCACAAGTTCACACAAGAATAAGTGTCTGTAGGGGTGGTGGCACAGATCTTATAGTCCCAGCACTTATGAAGTGAAGGTAGGGGAATCAGGAGCTCAAGGCCAGCCTTGGATACATGACACTTTCTCCCAAAGCTAAGCTCAACAAACATGTGGCAGGACTGTGGTTAACACCCAAGACACCCATCTCCTTCTCAACAAAGTTGCCTCCTCCAGATCAAATTCCGACTCAGTCAAGTGGGTGCCTGTGTGATTTCAAGATACACATTTGCTTCTCTAAGTCTGTTTATCCATCTCTAATGTGCACAATGTTCTGATTTGGTTATTGAAAGATCAGATAGAAGACTAAATTTAAACTAGCAAATACTTTGAACATGGAAATTGTTCAAGCCAACTGCTTCAGTTCGGGACCTAAGAGTTTGGAAGCAGAAGCTCCTTAACGGCAGCTATTTAGGATTGGAAAGCAAACTATCACTTCTCTGCGGTTGTGGTGGGGACAGGGTGAGGTCAACCTTCAGAGGAACTACTCTTAATTCACATCACATAGAAATAACTAAAAATCAATCTAATTTACATGTATGGGCTAAAGCCTTAGAAGACATCTTAAGTTTAATTCTTGTAACCTTGGGTTAGTCAATGGCTTAGAAGAAGACAAAGAGGAAGCATATATCAGTGAAACTTCCTTAAAACAGTGGTTTGCTTCAAAGGACACTTATGACAAACTGGGAAGTCAAAGCTATGTGTGGCAAATGCAGGAGGATTGTGAGTGAGGCCAGACTGGCCTACTTAGAAAGTTTAGGACCAGCCTGGGCTACATGAGACTTTGCCTCAAAGCAAGCAAAAGAGTGAAATACTGATTCATGCTACAACATGGATGGAACTTGAAAGCATACCGTGAAGGAAGCCTGCCAGTTTGACACACACCGTTTGACTCCATCATATGAAATATCCAGAACATATAAATCTGTAGAAATAGGAAGCAGAGATTTGGGGTACTAAGAAGGGAATAATACAGTATTGCTAATATGGGGTTTCATTAGGAGAGATGGAAATATATTACAATTAGGTAATGGTGAAAGCTACACTTCTGAATAGCTACACTTCAAACCATTGAACTTAACATTTTTAAATAGTGAATTTTGTAATCTTCAGGTAGCTTGAAAAGAATTTTATAGTCTTCAGGTGTCTCCAGCTTTGTGGCTGGGACCACATATCCATTTTTCTGCAAACAAAGAAATTTAGTTTTTCTTTATGGCAAAAAATTCCCTAGTACACACATGGCATGTTTTCTTTATCTAGTCCTCTATTGTTGAACACCCAGGTTAGCTTCATAATTTAGTGAATATGGATCCTGCTAAAAATAAATCAGTGTACAAGTAAAAGATAAATCAGTGGGGTTGGGGACGTATTTGGGTAGCATGTGGGAAACATTAGGTTCAACTCCAAGTACCACAAGGAGGACAGAAGAGGAAGGAGAGAAGGAGCTGTGTGGAAGAGGGAAGGGCAGAAAAAAGGGAATTCCATCTCTCTAGATATAGAGCCAGGGTGCCAGGGTCTCTGGCTGCAGGGGGACAACAGAAAGATAGACAGTAGACCTTCTCTTACCCAGTGATATCCTTGGCTTCTAAACTTCTTTAGGAGCCCATTCCTCGAGCTCAAAATGTGATTGAGAATGACCTGGGACTTCTGATCCTTCTTCCAGTACCTTCCTGGTTCTAGGATAACAGGTGTGTACCGCCATGCCTTGTTAATGTGTTGGGAATCAAAACCAGGAACTCCAGAAGACGGGACACTACATTAACCAAACTATAACTTTAGACCCATTTCTTTTTTTTTCTTTTTTCTTTTTTTTTTAATTTTATTTTATTTTCCAGTTTAAATTTAGATAAGAATCAAGGTTGCTTCACAAGTCAGTTCCAGGTCCCTCTCCCATTCCCTCCCTTCCTCCCGTGCCCTCCCCCCACCCCCCGTTATCCCCTCATTTCTCCAGGGAGGGTGAGGCCCTCCATGGGGGTGTCCATAGTGTGTCATTTCATATAGGGCAGGGCCTAGACCCTTTCCCAAGAGTTCAGGGTGAGAGTGCACCTCACATTGTTCTATTGGAGTCCAAAGTCCGTGTGTATACTTGGGATGGGTACTGATCTGCTGCCCAAGGCTCAATAGAATCCCTAGGCCTCTTCACTGACACCCGGATTCAGGGGGTCTTGATCAGTCCCATGCTGGCTTCCCAGGCTAATGCCTGGGATTCAAGAGTTAACCTTTGTCTGGTCAGCTGTTTCTGGGGGTTAGACCAGCCCAGTTTTAATCCCTTTGATCATCAGTCCTCCCTCTCTGTTACTGGCTTTCTTGAGTTCAGCTCAGTACTTAACCAAGGGAGTCTGCTTCTTCTTCGATCAGCCACTAAATAAAGTTTCTGTTTCCCAGACTCTCTGGCCATAGGATTGTAGGCTGGCACTCCCCAGATCTATGTCTAAAATCCATATATGAGAGAGTACATGCCATGTTTCTCTTTTTGTGACTGGGTTACCTCACTCAGGATGGTTTCTTCTAGTGTCATCCATTTGCCTGCGAATCTCATGATTCCATTATTTTTTTCTGCTGAATAGTACTCCATTGTGTAGATGTACCACATTTTCTCTATCCACTCTTCAGGTGAGGGACATCTAGGTTGCTTCCACGTTCTGGCAATTACAAATAAAGCTGCTATGAACATAGTGGAACAGACATCTTTGTTGTATGAATGGGCATCTTTTGGATATATGCCTAAGAGTGGAGTTGCTGGAAGACCCATTTCTTTTTAAAGATATTTGAAAGGAGCGGGGCTTGAAGTGAGCCTAGCTCACTTCTTCCAAAACTCCTGCCTGTAAATTCCTTAACTAGCCTACATCTTGTCTTTCCCACCTAGACAATTCGAGCAGTAAAACTACAGTACATGTATCACAGGGTTGGAGGCAAGGGGATAAAATTAGTTATATTAATAGTAGTGTGGAAATTAGGATGTGAGGTTCTTAGCACTCAGCCTGATATATCTTATCACATTGCAAAAGCCAGCCTCAAACTCATGGTCTTCCTGCCTCAGCCTCCCTAGTGTGGGGATTATAGGTGAATGCTACCTCAGTGGGCTTGTTGACTCTTATTTGGTTGTTGCCAGTGTAGACCACGTTGCCATGGAATAATGAAGATTTGTTACCCCAGTGAAGTTACCTACTTCTCAAAGGTCAGAACTGATTCATACCTTACTCAGCACCCCAGACCAAATACTCTGACTTCTCTGTGGATATTGGCTTCTTCTCTGTATCCCCAGATATGGAACCTCACTAAAGTACTTTACTCTAGTTCCATGGGAATACTGGGGGGCTAGGTATGGGAGAGCCATTGTATTTCTGAAAGACCTAAATTTTTTGAGGTTTTTTTTTTTTTTTTTTTTTTTTTTTGGTTTTACGAGACAGGGTTTCTCTGTTTTGGAGGCTGTCGGTCCAGCCTGGCCTCGAACTCACAGAGATCTGCCTGCCTCTGCCTCCCAAGTGCTGGGATTAAAGGCGTGCGCCACCAACACCCGGCGA